CCCTTGTGGGTCATGCCACCTGTTGTAGACGGACCGTACGAACTGTGCCTGGCTTGACAGTGGGACTGTAGTTACCACTGTCGTGGATGGTACGGCTGAGACTCTTTGAACCGGACCACTAGTTGCTGCTAAACCACCTGGAGGGGGCATGCCAAACATAGGAGAGAAAGTTGACCCTGTGTGTTGCGGCATCGATGAAGGACCCGCACCCGCAGGGGGAACTACAGCAAACTGCGGCTGCCTCACTACTGTGCGAGGAGCCCGAAGTTCAGCCAGGATTTGTGTATGGCCTGCTACCAATTCAGCCAGCAATTCCTGCTGGACGTTCTGCGCTTCAGCCACTGAAAGTAAAGCATTACGCAGCACACGACCAGCGGGGTCCAATGCTGCCTCATATAGTCCTTCCAGTCTGCTTAGCTCCTGCATTCTACTCCCTAGTCTAGCCTTCCTAAGTATGGCTTTTCTTCTCCTCTTTGCTGCCTCATCCAACTGCCGCTGTAGCTCATCCTAAAGTTCTTCTGCTTGCCGGATTTCTAAATCCTCCGGCGTGAGTTGAGTTTGCTGGCTGACTCGCAAGCTAGCAATCTGACTATTGTTCCCTTGAGAACCACTCTGACTGACTCCTGACGAAGTGGACTGTGTAGAGACTTGCGACATAGCTGAGGTAGCCATGGTTGCACCGGTATTAGCTGAGACTCTAGTCTTGGCACTATCCTCAGCTGCCCTCGCTCTCCTTGCCGCTGTTCTCTCTCTAGCCTCTCTCCGCAATCTTCTCTCGTCTCCTGGACCTAACTCCATGAATGTCAAGGGTCGACTACGAGCAGTCCCGCGAGTTGTCCTACGGTCGTCCACTAGCAACTCCTCCTCACTAGTGCTTGCATCACTCATGAGCTACAGTGTGTGTGATCTAAACTAGAATCCACACTGAATCCTACCTTAGCCTGACACACAACCGATTATGAATCACAACTAATTTCGGTCGGCTGGAACAGAAACAGTTAGGTGATATAGTAACAACTAATGTCAGGTCCTACAGGATATATTAAGTTTATTTTTAGATTACCCTGGAACAGATTGCAATACAGCAAAGATCTAGTCTATCTGTATCTGTCTGTCAGTTGTTAGCCAAGTCAGTAACAACTAGATAATCAAAATCAAAATAACATCTCCTGTTGGAGATGTATACTGGATGGCAGATTGATAGTTGATTGCCACTGTGAACAGTTACCGGAATCCCCCCTCCCCTGTATCCTTTTTGAGTGATCACTTTGTGTCAACGTTCCTGAGCATCTGGTTGAGCAGCGTGTCTGAAGGTGTGCAATCCGGCCCACCCCTGTGCCCCAAGTCATTGTCGAACATGCCGGCCAGTCCACTCTTATTTATCCTCGTACGGAACAAGCCTTATACCCGGTTGATCTGGCTGATCAGGAGGGATTTAAGGAGAGCCCCCATCTCCTCAGGAATTATTTAACGTCGCAGACAGGACGACGATTACAGCCAGATTCAAATCCGAGTCCCCCAGCCAGAAATATTTATAGACGGTCTGGTAAGCGTCTCATAAAAGGCTGGCATGCCCGGCACGACCTCTATTGCGCAAGCAGCAGAACCAAGGACTTGCTGCCCAAGCATGCATGTACTAGTCCCAGCGGGTTGGCATGGTGACAGTGACCCGAGTGCTTCGTCAAGGGCCCTTCAGAGGCTTCGCTCTCCCACCACCTTGCTGCCCAGGAAGAATGTCGACTCTCAAGGTTGAGCACTTGCGACACCTCACATCGAGAGGACTGTCAAGACAGAACTCACTTCCTCACGGTAAGAAGAGATGAAGAGGGTAGATAAGGAAGAGAGCAACGTACCTCATAAATGCTGCCCCCAACCACAGATTTCTCACCGGTAACCTGATGTGCAATTATGATGACCGGTCCTTGCCTCGGCACAACAAACAGCAGAATGCCGTTCCACCTCGGCTTAATATGCCACATCAGCGAGTTCTCATCATCCAGCATACATCCCGTATGTCACCACATAGCTCCCTGGCGCGCCCACACTACCCTGGGC